CACTTTTGTTTTATTTGTGTTTATATTTAGTCCCAAGCTATCTCCCTCTCTGGTTATGACATTCAAAAGTCGTTGTAAACCCTCAGCACTGTCCGCAATAATGACGGTGTCGTCTGCGTATCTTAAGTTGTTTACGTATTCTCCGTTGATTTTTATTCCTTCTTCAATATTTTCGAGGGCATTTTGAAAGATCTTTTCGGAATATATATTAAATAACAGTGGAGAAAGTACACAGCCCTGACGAACTCCTCTTTTTATTGGCAATTCTGCTGTCAGACGATTGTCTATTTTGATAGATGCCATTTGATCCCAATATAGTTTTTTAATAAGTGCTACAGTGTTATGGTCTATACCATGTTGTGTTAGGGTTTCTATGAGTTCTGTGTGTTTAACTCGATCAAACGCTTTTTCGTAGTCGATAAAACAGAGAAAGACGTCTTTTCGCTGATCTCGGCATTTTTGTAGTAATACCTGGAGGCCAAATAATGCCTCCCTTGTACCAAGCCCCATACGAAATCCAAATTGATTGTCGCTAAGGTTTCTTTCGCATTCTCTGTATATTCGTTGATGTACAATTTTGAGTAAAATTTTCAGAAAATGGCTCATCAGGCTAATTAATCTGAACTGTGAGCATCTATTTGCTTTATTTTTCTTGGGTATAGGTATAAATGTCGATCTAAGCCAGTCTTCTGGGAAGATTCCAGTGGTATATATTTTGTTAAATAATATTGTTAATGTCTGAAGATTTTCTTCATTGATGAGCTTTATCATCTCTACGTATATTTCATCTGGACCTGAGGCTTTTCGTGACTTTGCCGTATTGATTGTTTTTGTAACTTCAGATGTTAATATATCAAGTATTGTTTCTTGTACTATATTCATTTGTGGTTCTGTTCTCTCGTCATCAAACAGATCTTCGATGTATTTTTCCCACATGTCTCCTACTTCTTCTGGACTAGATACTATTTCGTTGTTATCATCTACTAAAGTTGTTGTAGTGATTTTTTTCTTCATATTTGTGACTTCCTTAATCTTTTTGTAGGCATTAAAGTAGTCATGCTTTTTTAGTAAATGTCCCAGTTCCTCACACTTGCTGCTCATCCATTCTTCTTTGGCTTTCCTAATTTTGTTTCGGATGATTCTCTGGGTTTCTTTATATTTTTCTACATTACGATTTTTGTAAGATCGCCTTATGTCCATCAGTTCTAGGATTTCTTCTGTCATCCATGTATTCTTTGTTTTTCTGGTGCTGTCTTGTAGTTGTTCTCTTTGTATAGTTGTCATCGTTGTTTTGAAGGTGTGCCAAATACTTTCTATTGTCTCTTCTGCTTCCGCGGGGGTTTCACTGAACTTTTCTTTGAGTGTATCATTGAGTTTTTTCTCTATTTCTGCCTGTACTATTGGGTCTTTAAGTTTTTCTAGGTTAGGTTTTATATTCTTTCTGTATTTGATTTTTTTTAGTCTAATTAAAATTTTACCAACAACAGGATTGTGGTCGGAACCGATGTCCGCCCCGGGATATGTTTTAACTCCCTTGATTCCATTTCTATAACGTTTCTCAATTAATATATAGTCAATCTGGTTTCTTATTATGCGGTTTCGATTATCGCCAGGTGCTTTCCATGTATATAACCTTCTTTTGGGTTGTTTAAACCAGGTGTTTGCGATCATTAGATTTTCTTCTTGGCAAAATTGGACCAGTATTTCTCCTCTATCATTTCTTTGGCCCAAACCAAAGTTTCCTACTACGTCTTCGGTCCGCCCTTCACCTACTTTGGCATTAAAATCTCCCATAATAATGTTTACAGCATTTTTCTTTGTGATCTTCATTAGCTGCTTGATCTCTTGGTAGAATTCTCGTACTTCTCTTTCTGGTTTTTCTGCTGTAGGAGCATACACTTGAATAAGGTTAATATTACGAGGAGTGGTATTAATTTGCAGCATAGCTACTCTATCAGATATAGGTATAAAGTTCTTTATACATTTACTGCTTTTCTGGTCAACTATAAATGCCACTCCGTTATAATGATGAGGATCGTCGTTACCAGCATAGTATATCACATGGTTATCGATGTTTGTCTGTCCAGATCCAGGCCATCTAACTTCACTGACTCCGAGAATGTTGACTCCCATTCTTTTCATTTCTTTCACGATGTTATGAGATTTTCCTGGCATATAGAGAGATTTTGCATTCCAGGTTCCAATTTTTAACTTGTAATTTTTGTTTTCCACTTTCGGGTGGTTCCTAGCATTTGTCGTGGGGATTCTTAGCACCCCTTGACCATCTAAGGTCTGCCACGGACTAGGGGCCTTTTGTTTTCCGTAACTTGCCATAGTTATAATATCTTGAGAATTTAGTGTGTTGGTTTCTCCTTGCCTTACACACCGCAGTATTATAACCGATTAAACCAATATCTGATTGTCGCCCATAATTATCTGCTTCCAAACCTGTTAAGAAGTCATTCTTCCCCAGCCTTGGAGTTAGTAATGACATAGCTGCTGCCCTATACCATGTCCTCAGTTGATCCGCGGGTGCTTATTTGGCGAACCTTATTCGCACCTATCCTGTATAATATATACAGGACGTCCCCGATCAGCCATATGGGACGCGCCGTGTCGGGGATGAGGACTTCCCCACCCAGTCTGTCTTTTGCGAAGCGTTGAAGAATCCCTACTTAGTTCAGAACTCTTCCTCCACAAAAGCTGAGACCGGCACGGGAGGAAGTTATACAAATGGTTTAAAACAAAGGTAACAAGATTAACGAAGTAATTTTTAGAGAATTATAATGATAATTTGCTGTGTTTTAAAAATTTAATCAAAGAATTGTAAACATCTACAGAGCCAAGTGATAATATAATATAATATGTTCCAAGGAGCTGCTATTTTATATTTTAACAAATCATAAAGTTTGGATGAGTAGACTGTATTTTTCGAACAACTAAAAAATATATGATCTAAATCACTTCTTCTACACAATGCTCACATTTTTCATCATCCAAAAGCTTTATTTTAAATAAGTGCTTTTGATAACATGCGTGCCCGAATCTTATTCTAATAATGGAAGTTATGTGCCTCCTAGAAGCTCTACCTACAAGGGTAGTACCAAGAAAATTTGGGAATGTCTGGCTGGATTAACGAGTATCTATTTTGATTCATAAAAGTATTCCTTTCACTGGTAGCTCCACTCTCGAAGCAATGTTGACTTGCAAGAAATAATACTGTCAGAAAGCATTACTTTATGTAGAATACCAGTATCGGTTGAAATGCTTTCTTTGGCTAATACGTCGACATATTCATTATGTTCAAATCCAGCATGTGCTTTAACCCAGAGAAAATTTACATTTATTCCTTTGGTTAAAAGAGTTTGAATAATATGTTTAATTCTATAAATGTATGGGCAGTCTGGTAAGTTTGGTGGTCCATATTTACTAATAGATTTTAACACTGCTAAGGAGTCGGACAAAATTATATGGACATATTAACTTCAGCTACATATAATAAAGCTTCATATATTACAATAGCCTCCGCTGTATAAATCGAAGACTCCGGGTTCAGTTTGAATTTCTTTTTTATAGTCTCGATGGTATAAAAAAAAGTTCATCCGGTTCCATCTGGATATTTAGACCCATCTGTATATAGAGCTATTGCCTCGTTGTAATTGCTCGCTATAGATAGAACAATATTTTTATTTAAATATATGTATTCACTTTAATTTGGTACAATAATATTTGTATGTAAAAAGAAAGAAGAGTAGTTTTTGAATCTATGGTTCGTTCTATCTGTACTTTTTAAAAGTGATATATTTTGATTATACGCTTCGCAAAATAAGGAAGATTTCTTTTGTTGCCAATATTTATTTGTCAGGTTATGGAAATTCAAAGTCATTATCTTTTCGTATATAGATGAGTTCAGTAAGTACACTTTCATTAAATATTTTTTGGACAAAAACCTTGTCTTATATTTGAAGGGGGTTCGAAGGCTCCCAAATATAAAGCTTGTACTGGAGTGGATCTCATGGCTCCTAAACATATTCGTAAGGCTGAGTTCTGTAAAACGTTGATTTTGTTTAGTAGTGCATTACTGGCTGATCCATACAAAACACTTCCGTAATTCAAAATAGATCGTATGTAAGCTTTGTAAAATAATAAACTTACTTCAACATCCGATCCCCACCAAGTTTTATTAATTGATTTAAGAAAGTTTAATCCCTTATTGCATATGTTTAACATGTCATCAATATGTACCTTCCAGATCAATTTCTGGTCGAGTATCATTCCCAGATAATTTTTGACACGAGCATTCCCTTCTTTGCATTTACAAAAATTTTCATAAGGATTTTTTTTGTAGTGTACTAATGCTTCTTTTCGCATCAAAGAATCAATTAAATGAAAAGAGTTTTTGAGAAATGACGAGGCGTTTTCGACTGATGGTTGTAAGGATAAAGCGAGATGTTTTGCCAATTTCTGAGTTGAGAATAACGGTGGCATTACCTTTGTCGGCCGGAAGGATGACAATGTCAGGGTTCTTTCAGTGGGGAAAAATCGTGCAGGTGCATTTCTTGTGGCCAATGGCTTCTCTATGTGTCAGAGTTGAAGCTATTGCAATGAACATATTTTTTTTTGTTTGTAAAACCATTATTTCACCTTTGTTAGCTTTTTCTAAACATTACTACAAAAGCAACTAATATAGAATTTAATTTTTATAAAACCTTTCTCGATGTAGGAAAAGGTATTGTCTTTACTATGAATGCTTAATAATGGCAACAATCATTAAACTGACTATTAAAACGGATAAAACCCAAAAAGTGGTCCAAGGTACAACGGTCTCCCTTATTTAATTTTCCCCTACGAATTCATAGTTTGTTTTGTTGAATTTTTTCTGCATATTATTGACAAAAGTCGTGTATATTTTGCGTTTGAATACGCCTATTTGCCTAAGTCTAGTAATAATAACAATAAAAATTGAAATAAATATAGTAAAAATAATAAAATACAATTACCTTTAAAGATTGGTGCAATTTTAAACACTCCCAAACCGCCTATTGTCAACATTTGCCCAAGTGCCAATTCCATAAAGAACATAGGAATGCCGGCAAGAATTAAGGTAATAAAATAAGGTACCAAAAAGGCACCGCCTCCATTTTTGTAACATAAATAAGGAAATCGCCACACATTACCTAAACCTATAGCTAAACCTACTACCGATAAAATAAAGTCTAATTTACTACTCCATGTTCCCCTTTCAGGATAGGGAGCAGGGTGTTTTGAGTAAGATATTTGGTTTATTAAATTTGGTATATTTGTTAAAGTTGGAAGTTCTATGTCTTCGTGACGGTTCAATTTAAGTGTGTTCTCATCGTATTCCTGAGTTTCTTCCCGCCGGTGAGTCATCTTCGTTGTTTATGTCCACCGTCAGCTCATGACATACCCCAAAATCTACAACAAAATACATAATTAAAATACACCGTTTTGCTAAATTAAAAAAATAGGTAGGGTTTATACCTACTGTAAAAATTAAAGAATTAATATTAAGCACAAGATTTTTTTTATTTTAAGAGCATCAACCACAGGGGTCAATAGCTATACCTATACATTATACATTATATGGTATGTATTACATTAATATATTTAGGATATTTAAATAAACCATAAATATTACAATTTGGACCTAAAATTTTACATAATTCGTTAGATGATAAGTTTGTGTGTCTTTCTTTATTAAATTTAGGGCAGTCTATTAAAATATTATGTACAGTTATTTCACTGTTATCCACAAGACTTTAATATTTATATCTTCCACCATCTTTTCAGAGCAAAGTTTGGAAAAGAGGATATAAGATATCTGTTTTTCAAGCAACAACCTCGAAGACCGATGTACCAAAGAAGTATATGGCCCCATACCAAAAACTCAGCATAGACCAATTGGTATAATTATCTTTCCAATTGTCAGACCATAAGCTATTCCATTCAGAAGGAGATTTAACTTCAAAAAGGCAAACTGGCAAAAGTATACAGACATGCTAGATTTTGAGCTGCTACGTCTTGAACCAAAAGTAGAGAACTACGAAAAATTTGTAAAGGTACTTAAAAATGAGTTTAGAAAAGCTATCCCTTGAGGATGTAGACGAAAATATGTTCCCGGGATGACCAGCGAGTCCAATGAACTAATGATAACATACGAAACCCTCTATTCCACTGAACCTTTTAGCCAAGAAACGGTTGACTGCGGGGCAGTACTACTCCAACAGCTAAGTCAAGCCAGAGAGGAAAAGTGGATTGAGACCCTGGAAAAAATTGACATGACACATAGTAGCAAAATAGCATGGAACCTTGTAAAAAAAACTCAGCGGTGATCCAAAAGGACATAAACCACCTTGCAAGGTTACAGGAAACCAAGTCGCTGCTCAACTTCTTACGAATGGAAGAACCACTAACCGATATAAGGACCCAAATACTAGGAGAAGATTGGATTCTGAGACAAACCATCTAGGAACTCCTTTGACACTAAAAGAACTCCACGACGGTATGAACAGGTTAAAAACCGGGAAAGCTGCAGGTGTGGATGATATATGCAGTGAACAAATAAAGCATCTAGGCCAAGGAGCAAAAAACTGGATCTTGCAATTTTATAACATGTGCTGCAAAACCTGCAAAATTCCAAAATCATGGAGGAAATCTAAAGTAATAGCCTTGTTAAAACCAGGAAAGGACCCAGAAAACCCAGTAGCTACAGATCTATTTCGCTATTGTGTCACTTTTTTAAACTATACGAGAGACTCATACTCACCAGAATAGAAAAAAATGTCGACAAGCACCTCATTTCACAACAAGGAGGATTCAGACCCGGCAAATCTTGAACGATATGTTGCAAGGATATGCTTAAATCTCGTACAGTTATTCAATTTGTTTATAAGCCTAAAAAATGTTTAAAACTTTAAAAAATTTTCTAGGTTCTCCTAGTGAACCGATTTGAATTTTACAAAAAGCGTTTGAAATTTTGAGCCTTTCGTTATCTGTAAAAAAAATTGCAACTATCTAAGGGCCATATTTAGGGCCTACTATAAATTTGAAAATTCGCGATTTTTTTTTCAGTAGGCTGGATTGCAAAATTATTATGCAAAACCTATCCGACCGATCTTAAAAAAATTAGCACACGTTTTAAACATATTAAAAAAGTTTTTCTAGGCGGAATATGAAGCTTGTAAGTCAAGTTTAAAAAGTCGGAAACATTTAAAGGATTAACTTAATTTTTTTGTACTTTTTTTTCCAATTATTGCTATTTTTTCAACAATAAACATTAAATTTTCAATTCCTATGGGAAATGTCCATTATGGTCTGAATTTTTACAGATCCCGCCTAGTCTAATAGAAGATCATTAAAAAATGATGAAGAATTCTTAGGATTTGATAAGAGCGAACAAAATAAAGAAAATCCTTGGCAAGTTGTCAAAAAAACCTTGAAAAGAAGAAAAGTGGATGTTACCAATAGACCATCAGAGACAGTAACAAATAACAAATATAGTTCTCTAACTCTCCCATACCAAGAGGAAGAAGAATTCACTAAAACTAACGAAAACGCAAATAAAACATTAAAACCACCTCCAATATACGTCTACAGAGTAATTAAATCCAATGAGATAATCAAACATATAGATTTAATAGCAGAAAACACACTCTACATCATAAAATCTTTAGCAGACAACACGGTAAAGATAAGTAGCGGTACACCAGACACGTATAGGAAAATAATAAAATACATGGGGGATAAAAATGTAGTACACCACACTTATTAACCTAAAGAAGAGCGTGCCTATAGAATAGTCATCAAATACCTACACCATACTGAACATAAGGTTAGAAACACGATGAATTGCAAAAGTAGAACAAGAAACCACCGTTAAATATATTCTTCGTCGACTTAGAACCAGCAGAAAACAACAAAGACATTTACAAACTAACAAATCTTCAAAATAGAGCTATACCTGATGATGAGAAATGAAACTAGACCTATGAAACCTCAAAAAATAACAAAAGGGATCACCCAATGCATGAGATGTCAGCAATATGGCCACTTAAGATCATACTGCAACAGACCATTTGTGTGCGTCAAATGTGGTGGAGAACACAATGCGTCAGCCTGTAAAAAAAGTAAAGATATCCCTGCTAGGTGTACTTTATGTGATAGTGCCCATCCAGCCAACTACAAAGGATGACAATTCTATCATAAATTACTCAAGCCAAACAATGCCAACAATCGTATGAATATACAACAAACCGCTAACAATACAACACCTCTAACCCAAGAACCGCCTCTAACCCATTACCCAAAACAATCGCAAAGCAGCTATGCTAATGCATTAAGAAATGGTACTGAACAACAATCAAACATTAATGACATGATGAACAAATGATGATGAAAAAAATGAATGCAGAGCATAATAATTATTACAGTCAATATCTGTGTGTCAACATAATTCAGTTTGATTCAAATTAGAACATTGATTGTGTCACTTAATGGCATTGAGCAAAAAGTATGATGTTGCGAGAACAACAATCAATGTTTTAAAGAAAAATTCTGATGGAATTGAAAAGTATGCTTTGCAAATGGGATCGTTAGATGGCCAAATGAAACGTAGTTAGACAATGAAAAAAGCCACAAATGAATTATTCGACACGGCACGACACGACACTCTGTATTTGAGGTTCGTTCAAAAAAGAAGCGAAGGTGTTCCTTTGTCTGGCCGATTACTGTCCTATTGTTGCCGAAAAAGCATTGTTTTTCAACGACATACGAGAACTGAAAATCGAAGGTGAAAAATTGAGCGCTGCAAGTCGTTGACGAATATAAAAGAAAGTTTCAAGATATGATCGATGAATATGGTTTGACACGAGATCAAATTGATTCGACTGTACTCATACAGTCCCATACAACATAAATCCCTCTTAAATTGTCAAATAAAACATACAAATATAATTTAAGAGTTATACTAAGAATTTTTGTTAATGTTCTGTTAACCGTCTTTTCGATTATCCGTCATACCCTTGGTCCGGTGCCCTGACGGATAATCGAGGTTCCACTGTATTTAAAATTCAATAGCTTCATTCAAATAGCAGAGTGGAATGCTAATGGACTTCCAAAGCACAAAAATGAGGTCGAGTTATTTCTACTCTACAACAAAATTGACATTCTGTTAATAAGTGAAAGCTATTTCACAAGTCAAACTTATTTCAAGATATCCCACTACACAACCTATTCCTCAAACCACCCAGACAATAGAGCACACGAGTAGATCAGCTATTCTGATAAAAAATACTATTAAACATGCAGAACTACCAAACTATGCTGAAAATTTCTTGCAAGCTACACTTATCAAAGTAAGTATGAAGTCTTACGAACTAACAGTCGCAACAATCTACTGTCTACACCGATACAACTTAAAAAGAAGAAGACTTCTTTTCTTGAATACTATGTAATTAATCGTTTGATATTGGAAAACTACTGACAATTAAATATTGGAACATATTTTGCTTTTCCTCATGTTTCTTAAATTTTATCAGCCTGACACAAAGAAGGCTTCGAAATCAAACATACGAGTAGGTAGCGCGTTGTCAACAATAATTGCCATGGCTCATTTGCTTCAATTATTATTCAATTAATATTCATCAGTACCATGAACGGAAAACAATGCGTGAAATTTCCAATGAATTGACTATGCAATAACTACGTTTTAATATAATCAATAAATATGGTGAAATTGCCAGTATTGATGTTTGCAGAAAACGCTCAGTCCCTCCAAAAGCTGTTTCTCAAAGGAGTATACAGCATTTAATTCGAATATGTAAGTCGGGAAGAAGAAATACACTACGAGCAGTAACCGTTTGAAGGAATAGATAAACTGGGATGAATGTTTCCAGAGAATCCTGTTGCAAATACAGTATGGTGGAAATGAAAGGAATAAATTCGTTATTTCGTAAACCGGAGACTTTAAGGAAAAATCTTGAAACCCGTCGATTTTTATTTTTAAATAAGCTATTCGTAAGAATACATTTTTATTTTTGACGTCATCTATGTGAGCGTGATGACGTCATTGCTAAAATTTTTGAAAGAAAGTGGGGTATTGTAATACATCATTTGAAAGGTCTTTTAAATACCTATTCAGCTATATCAATATGTCTAAGTAATTAAAGTTTGTAATTTGTTTTTTTTTTTATTTATTTACGCTGTAACCACCAGGGTTATTAGCGACCGAAGTTTGTAATTGTTTAAAAAAAATAATTAAATTTTTATTATTACAATAAATATTTATTAAGTATTGTTCAATAAATACAACAAAACCTAAATTAAGTGCTCAATTTGTTTACCTTCAGCTAAAATACAATGAGAAAGGCGTGCCGCGAACTCTTCTCTAACATTGTCTAAAACTTCCGGAGTTATTTGAATAACCTCATTTCGTATTCTTTCTTTCAGTTCATTAATATTTTGTGGTCTATTTTGATACACCTTACTTTTTAAATATCCCTATAAAAAGAAATCAAGAGGAGTCAAATCAGGTGACCTAGGCGGCCATTCTATTGTTCCTCTTCGACCTTTCCACCGATTTGGAAAGACGTTGTTTAAGTAGTTGCGTACCAAGACAGCATAGTGTGGAGGCGCACCATCTTGCTGTAGCCATAAATCATTTCTGTTTGGAAACAACCGGTTCAAGTCTGGAAGCAAGAAATTTTGAAGAAATTCTGAATATCGAAGACCTGTTAAGTTTTCTTCGAAAAAGTATGGTCCAATACACCTATTATCTATTATTCCCACTTAAATAATGGTGTGGATTTTCCGTAGCCCAGTACCGATAAGTTTGACGATTGACATGACCGTTTAGTAGAAATGTAGCTTCATCAGAGAAAATAATCTTTTTTAAAAACATCGGATCTCTGTTATTTCGTTCCATTATAATGTAACAAAATTCAATTCGTCTATCAAAATCATCTTCCATAAGTTCTTGTACTAAACTTACTTTGTAGCGATGCCACTTTTCCTTCTTTAGTTGTTTAAGAACTGTTGAATGGTCCATGTCATTATCTAATGCTACTTGCCGTGAACTGTTATGAGGATTATCTTAAAAAGCTAACAGAACGTCTACTTGTAGGTTTTCAGATATTGATTTTCTACTACCTTTAGGAAGGTCTGTAAGATGAACCGTTTCTCTAATTTTTTTCTCAATTTTGCTTACAGTGGATTGTGAAATTGGTTCTCGACGGGGGTATTTATTATTAAATAACGCACATACTTCTTTCTGCGTACGTGTTTTATCTCCATAATCAATCATTATGAGAATTTCAATCCGTGCGTTTCAGTTAGCTTCATGTTCAAGCATACAAAGACTTTTTGAAGACGTTTACTACAATAATACTATTAATCACTTGACAGAAAATATTTAAGTTTGAATGTCCAACTATCAATGTTCATATTAATAAGGTAACTAGTTTTTTTAAAAAGGTAAAAAGTAGATAAAAAAGACATTTCATTACCAGTGATGGCCTTCATAAAATTTATTTTTGGGTGTCAATAATACGTCATATCAATACTTAATAAATATTTATTGTAATAATAAATATTTAATAATTTCTTTAAACAATTACAAACATCAAATACTCAGACATATTGATATGGCTGAATAGGTATTTAAAAGACCTTTCAAATGATGTATTACAATACCCCCTTTTCTATTTAAAAATTTTAGCAATGACGTTATCACGCTCACATAGATGACGTCAAAAATAAAAATGTATTTTTACGAATAGCTTATTTAAAAATAAAAATCGACGGGTTTCAGGATTTTTCCCTAAAGTCCGGTTTACGAAATAACGAATTTATTCCTTTCATTTCCACCATACTGTATATCCACAAAAGCAGTTTTTATAAGGTATGTTTGATAGGTTTTTCTTTGCAATATAAATTTTTGTTTTTTGATTTATTCGAGTAGGCCAAAGAAAAATCATTGCTGATGGAAACTCAAAAAAGGAATCGTGACATTTGGGCTAAATCAAAACTTTCGTGGACCAAAGATAACTGGGACAAAGTTATATATAGCGACGAAAGCAAATTTTATGTGTGTGTGGGAGATTATCGAAAGCGTGTGATTCGGCAAAAAGTGTAATTCGAGAAGCATTTCATAAGGATTTTCTCTAAAGGACTCTAAAGTTTCCACAGGGCATCACGGTTGGGTTGTCTGTCAACAAAAGCTTTGGGAACATTACATTTTATTTAGACATTTAAAAAAAGTGACGGTGACGTCATTATTCGAAAGTAATTCACCCTGTATATTAGAATATTATTTTAAAATACGGTAAATTAAAATCAAAAATCGGAGTATTTCAGGATTATTTTTTAAAATGCTTTGTTTGCTAAAAAATAATTTGTTCCATACTTTACGGACACAGTGTATATAATTCAGGTAAAGAGAATTATCTACTAATATAACATTTAATCCGAATTTATCATGTAAGTACGTTTGGAAACTAAAGCATATCTGGAATCATTCCTCTTTACTCCATTGTAAACGTTGATTTTGTTCAATGACTTCCTTTTCACATGTCAAAATCTAATGGAATTATTGAGACTGTTTATATATCCTTTTACCCAAGTGAACTTTATTTTCATATTTTTAACTCATTTCGAAAAAAAAAAATCGAGATTTGTCCGTTTACCCAAGAGCCACGGAATTATCCGAATCCTAATTAGCACTCACTCTAATAACAGGGCACTGAGTAAATTTTTCAAAATTTAATTGATATAGAATCTTAATCGACTTTCTTAAAAGTTGTACTGTTAACCAAATTTGAAAAAATATGACAAATCACGCACAAACATATTACAGATTGTTTTGGATACGCCCTGTACCATATTAAATTTGAGAATAAAAGTATTAAGAGAGACGGAAATGGATAATATTTTTCCCTGCATGAAAAATCCCTAAAAGGTTTTTTATTATATTCGCGTATGATATATTTTTATGTAAACAACTCACTGACTATATTTTTTTACATTTCTAAAATAAATGTGAATCTAACTTACCTTGATAAAATCACAGATGCCTCTTAAGTGCATTTAAAGCTGCTCCTTTGTCAAGCGGATCCTCGCTTTGAGAATGTCACCATGAACCGAGAGAGGATCTTTTGAATCTCACAGCAAAAACTTAAGTAGCACTTAACATAAAACACTTGCAACTATTCACTAGACAATTGTCAGTTCTATTTTATACACTAATACCCAGAGTTTGGGCGTTAAAACACTAAATATCTATAACAACTTTCAAGCAGTCTGAAAGCTTAACCTACGTTAATAAAGTTAAATGATTAAAAAGTTCTCCAATGGATATGTGTATTCGGTCTTTGATGCAGTCACTATCATATTATTATTTAAACTAGCACTTGTACGGGAGTGTTTATTGACTCTAATGGAGGATATCCTACAGTGTCGAATGATTGTATCAATCGAGTTGTATGAAATCCGAGGACTTATATACATGCCCCCCTTTAAACGGAAAGGGGAAGTAATACATATTCGTTTTGATTCTTCCTTTGCCAGTTTGACGCTTAATTATTATTTCGACCGTAATAATACTCACCATAAAAATATCAAGTTACTATTTCGGTTGGTCTATTTTTGTATTTTAACCAAAAATAAAGAGTTTAGGTGGCCTTAGAATAGAGTGCATTAATCACAAGGCTTACAAAGTCAATTTCGTATGAAAATTTAGTTTTTTTTTTGTTTATCCGCATTAACCACTGGGGTTATTAGCGGTAGGTTTATGATACAAACAGAGAAAAAAAGATACATTTTCAAGTCATGTCTTACAACAATATGGTACAATGTATATGTATGTACATGTAACAAACATTAAATCACAATGTATTATAGAGTTTGCAGTAATTTAAAAAAGACAGAATTTCTCCTTAGTATTAACGATTTTAGTTCATGCATAAACGACCCTGTGCAATACGGAATATATGCCGACGACATATTATTAATCTGTCATGGAAAGCACAACTAATTTACTTCAAAACACGCTAAGTAAAATAAACAACTGATCCAGTCAATCCGGCCTTAACTTTTACTCATCCAAATCCAAAGTTATTCATTTTATCAGAAGCCAAAACACGCAATATCCAACCGTTGGGGAGCCGATAAGGAAACACTACTAAAAATATATCAAGCTCTTATTCGCTCCAAACTTGACTATAGTAGTGTTCTTTACATGTCATCAAGTAAATCACAACTACGTTCACTTAATGTAGTCCAAAATACTTCACTTCGACTTTTTTTAGGAGCATTCCGATCCAGTCCGGTGGAAAGCATTCATGTAGAATGTTTTGAACCATCGCTTCATCTAAGACGACAACAACTTCTACTGCTCTATTTCGCTAGAGTTTTGGCAAATCCCACAAATCCCACAAAAAACCTCATCTGTAATGGACAATTACCAGTTACTAATAATCCTAGAATGGTACCGTCCACTATGCCGATGTTAATTCCTTATTTAGATATCAATCTATTGTCGACCAGCCCTTTCACGGTCCCTCAAACCCCTCCATGGATATGTAAACTTCCAAATCTTAATATCGAATTATCCAAATATACTTAATAAGAATTACATTTCACCTGCCATTATCAAACGAAGATTCTATGAAATACTACATCAATGCAACTTCGATAAGATCCTTTACTCAGACGCATCTAAGACCGAAGAAGGTGTTGGCTGTGCTGTTACAACACTACAACCACCGTCAGCTTGTTTCGACTCTCCAGCAATTGCAGTATTTATACTGCTGACCTATATGGAATACTACAATCTGTGAAATTGTACTTACTCTCTCTCCTCCATGCAGTCCATAAGAAACTTATATTCTATCCACCCAATAGTTCTAAAAATCCAGAGTATATGTAATCTTCTTCAAACTCATGGAATTACAGTTACAATATTGTGTGTCCCATCACACGTTGGTATTCCAGGTAACAAAAAAGCCGATCAAGCAGCAAAACAAGCATGTTTTCGTAACTTGACAACAGAAATTCAAATATCATCAGATCTAAAAAGAACAATCAAACATAAAATAATGGACCTTTGTAATGATCAATGGAAAATAAGCAATACAGCAATTAAGCGTTCTACAACCAAACATTTTCTACCACCAGCTCTCACCAATGAAAAGAAAGAACAAATCTATCATTTGAATATTGAGAATAGGGCACACACGCCTTACACATGGACACCTAATGAATTCCAGTAATCAGATTTTGTGCCAGTACTGCAACACCACTACTTCCGTAACACATGTACTCCTTGACTGTCAACACTACCTAGCGGCCAGAAGAAAATATAATCTTGGTAACAACCAAGACATAAGACATACTTATCTCAAACAGCAGCAACTACGAAAATGTATTAAACTTTTTAAAAAACACAAAGTTATACAATTTAATTCAAAACAATATGTATCCTTAATTACCGATGATACCTCCGCATCTGAAGTGTGGAACAAGATCCGCAGAATTAAAGGTATTCCATATACTTACAAGATAAACTCTCTTAATATGAACGGAAATCAAATATCTGATGAAGCACAAATAACAAATGCCTTAGCAGTTTCGTACTCAATGTAACATACAGCAATGACTCTATGTATGACCCTAAATTTATTGAACATAAAAGAAACTTAGAACAAGAAATAATCATTACCAATAACAATCATCCACTGAACTCATCACTAAGCATAAATGAATAAAATGAAGCACTTCAGGACGTTAAAAATTCTAGCCCAGGACCTGACGAAATATTTTATGCATTTTTTAAAAATCTTCCAGCAAATGCTAAACAATACCTTTTTGGATATCTATAATCTGTTATTCGATATGAAACAATTCCCAAAAGCTTGGAAAGTAGCGATTGTAATTCCTATTTTAAAACCTCATAAAATAAAGACGGATCCAAATTCGTATCGACCTATATCTTTAACATCCTCCTTGTGCAAACTGATAGAAAAAATACTTACCAAACGTCTGCAATACTTGCTAGAATCCAGTAATTTAATATGCAAATAACAAAGCGGATTTAGGAAAAACAGATGTACAATGGACAACTTGATTAAACTAGAATCGGTCATACACGAGGCATTTGCAAGTAATCGTCAAGTACTGGCCGTCTTCTTTGACATAGTAAAAGTCTACGATACTGTGTGGAAGTATGATGTCCTAAAAAGATTAAAACAATGGGGTGTGGACGGAAACCTTCTAGCTTTTATTAAAAATTTTGTTTATGATCGAAATTTTAGAGTTAAACTTACTAATCATTTGTCAAGCTCGTATACCCAAGATAACGGTACTCCCCAAGGATCAACACTTAGTGTAACACTTTTCTTGATTGCAATGAATTAAGTTATTGATAACATTAATACTCCTGTCCAGATTGGTTTATATGCAGATGACCTTATTCTTTACGTAAGCAATAAAATTAACCGGATAACTGCAACCATTTTGCAAGAGTCCATCAAATCTTTAGAAAAGTGGTCAGAGAGAACAGGTCTTCGTTTTTCTATAATCAAAACAAAAGCAATATATTTTTCAAGAAATAACCAGTTGGCCAAAATTAACACTATATAATCAAAATTTTCAGTATGTAAAAGAACATCGATTTTTGGTAATGATATTAGATACAAAACTCACTTGGAAAACCCACATTCAACAACTTAAAAAATCTTGCATGCAAATATGAACATTCTCAAAGTATTAGAAAGTCATAATTGGAGAGCTGATACCTCACAATTACTAAATATATATAAAACACAGATTCGCAGCAAGCTAGATTATAGATCAGTAGTGTACAGTTCAGCTAAAGATAGTACAAGCCTTAAGGCGTTGTACTTGGAGCCTACAGGACTAGTCCAGTAGAAAGTCTTTATGTAGAAGCTGATGAACCACCTCTTTCAATTAGAAGACACAGACTAATCCTACAATATGCAGCTAAAATAGGAGCAAACTCTAATAAACCTGCTTACTCCTACACATTTTCTGACAATTTTCATTTAAATATTTCGACGAAGTTAAATGTATGTTGTAAATATTTCAAGTTTTTTTGACTAGATTTTTAAATGCGTAATAACGCTGGAAATATTTTTTATCTCTGTTACAAAGTCAGGTAGAACTCCGGTTTAAAAACTACGTGCTATTTTGTTAATTTGTATTATGTTATATCTATTTCGACAAGTTTTTTGTCGCCTAGAGGATTATATTACATGATGCCCCCTAATATAAAAAAGAATGTTTTATTTGTCTTTCGTCGGTAAAAACGGAATAAGCTGGAATATTTAAAAGTTGTTTTTATTGTTTAGAAAGAGTGTCAACAAAGAATATTGTTTGTTTAGGTTTTGTAAACACAAGGGGGAGAGTTATTTTATGGCGTCGAATTTGTAAAATTTAACGCAAATAAGGAGTCCAAGAACAGATTTGAAACGGTGCAGACGTTATACAATTTAGAGTCCAAGAAAAGATTTGAAGCTGGGTGGACGTTTTGTGATAAGAGTCGACGGTTAAGTTTGAAAAGATTTGAAATGTAAAATATGGGGCAACTTTTGAATCGAGGGCTCGATTCAATTTTTTGTGATGTCTTGGGACCATTCAAAATGATGATACCTACTCTTTGCTTTGCATAAGCAGTTTTGGCAGAGATGTTATTAGATTTGTATAGATACTGGAAATTTTTGAAAAGTATTATATAGAATGTCCCCGTAAGTCAGCTTGATTCTTCCACCAAGTTCCTGTTTCAATCGTTCCTGCCTGAGTATATAAATGGTTCCTTGTTCCTCTTAGAGAATATGCCCAGGGATGTAGCAAGTTTATTTTTCAAAGTTAAGTGAAATATGTGAATTAAGGTAACAATTCATTATATTATATTTTCAAGTTATATAGACATTTTAATAATTGCTTTCATTAAAATAAAAGAATTTGTTATTATTAAAGTTTTATATTATTTTTGTCGTAGCTAAAAAATGTCATATTTTATTCTGATTTAAAATGTTATGTTGACATATGACATGTGCTGTAATCCATTGTTTTTTGTAAAACAATTTCAATTTGATTTTCATATATAAAACATATTTCATATATAAGGTTAAATTCAATAATATTTTCATAAAAAGGATATCCATAAAATTTTGATAATCTAAATTGGCCAC